CAGCTAATGACCCATGTGACAAGGTGAGAGCTACTGGTACAGGTCTGAGTACAGCCAAAATCAATATCAATTACACCTGTATCGGAGAATTGTCAAAAGTAAATGCCCAGGTGTCCCTCGTTCTGGAGAGTGAGCCAATCTCTTTGTTGTCTGAAAGAACAAACACAAAACAGGACTGCTGTGTGGTTTCTTATCGACGGTTAACCTTGATGAACTTCACAAGAAAAAAGAGCGTATATACTCAAGTTTAGTCATGATTCTGCATAAAGTAGACATCTGAGAAGTTGTACCGCGGTCGAAGATCGCGCTCGGCAGGTTCTAGCGTCCTGGGTCTCTGCTCCACAGCTGGGTTTGATTTATGCCACTGACAAGGCCGTTTCTCTCCAGAACAGCACACTGTGGGGAACCTGAGGAGAGACAGCCTTTCAATTTATCTCATGCCGCCCCTCCCCCCGCCATGCACTTCAGGGTTTTTAAAGCAGTCAAGAGCATAGATCAACACCTGAAGTTAGGTCCCACCCCTTGTCCCCGGCTCAGAGGATATGGTGACCTCGTCTCTTTTTCTCCGCGCACTCGCCACATTACAGCCTGTCCACCTCGAGTTCTGTTAGCAACACTGACGTTTTGATACAATTATGATTAGAAACATGGCCTGCAGGTAGGTCGATGATGGTCAAAGCGGGTCGGAGAAAGCAATACCTCACCTTATCTGTGAGCTTACCGTGGCAGGCAAACACAAAATCAAACACATACCCTGCAGTATTTCTTTCACACTCACTTTTCCCATTTACTCGTCCGGTATTTGGTAGTGGATGGCTGCTTCGGGGGGCGAGCTGGATTAGCGGTGCGCGCACTGAGGCAACAGTCTTTGTGTATAGAAAGGCCTTTGCTGAGACTAATTATTAGCTGGAATCACCGTAAGCTTGCAAAGATCTCTCTTCCTGTGGTCTCATGGCTGAGTAATCCCACTGATAGAATCTTAACCCCTATTTTCACAAGCCGGTTTTATTTACCCTGTTAATTAAGTAGAGGCTCCAATACAGGCCTCCACCCTGCAGTCATGCTACCAATCAGCCGTGGCATCTCGGAGTCACTAAGTATTCATGAACGCTGCTGCTCCAAACCCTCAAAATCAGCATCTAATCTGTGATTAGGCACATTGTTTGTATGGGGATTTTTTTTGAGCACACGCCCCTTCATAGATTAGGAAGTTTGGGATTTTTGTGTAGCCGGCGGGCTCAGATGATTAGCACGAGTATTCGGCAGCTGCCATTAGAAACTCGCTCTACATTCCAGACCCGCACTTAGTTCAAAGCCGCTGCACTCAACACACAATTTCCTGGCGACTCATTATTTGGATTGTGATAGTTTCCCTCTCACAATGTAGACTTTATCAAACAGATCAAAGACAAATATTTCAAAAACAAGGCTTTCAAGTGCCTTTTTGATTGTGAAGAAGCTTTACAAAGAGGCAGCGTCTGCATCTGTTAACAGCGTCTCAAAGAGAATGTAAGGAAATAACAGAAACAGCCTTTTACTTTGGACCACACTGTTTTTCCTGCGATTTCCACTTCACAGTGCCCGTGATAGCTGCGCTGCGACTGATGTTATTTGTCTCTTTCATCTTGTCACAGAGCAGGGAGGATCAACGCCGTACAGGCCCCATCCTCAGAGGCTTGATCTCGCCCCCAAAACACACACACCTGTGTTTTTTAGGATTACAGGAGTGCTCTTGGCCATCTCCCCTTGTTCAAAATAATCGCCTCTTTTTAGGAGGATTATTGCTGTGTCCATTAAATCTGTGTAAGTCAAAGATGAAAGGAGTGGCTCTTGTGTTCATCTCACCTGTGAATTATTGATACCTGCCCCTCCGTTGGCTCCTCGAGGGAAGGAGGTGGGAAATGTCTCTTTACATAACGGTCACATCGCGCAGACAGGGCGATGACAGAGACGAGGGACGGCAGGAACAAAACTGAAAAGTGTTAATTTAAGCTTCCATCTCTTATTCACCACCTCTGTGCTACGCTACTGTGTTTGACCTGAACTGCTCTTCATTAGATCCAGAGTAAAATGATGATCTCTTATGCAGACAGTCTGCTCTACTTTCTGTACTGTTGGTGAAAGGAAAATTCCTCCCCAATCTTTATGAGGCTTCACAAGAAGTTCGACAACGTGTTGAATTGCTAAGACCGGTCTTGGCTCCACGGGAGGATTTGACTCTCTATGAGCCATTGTGCTCGCATGCGGCCTCCTCTTACAAGATGTATGGCACACAAGTCACATGATAGCTGCTTTGTCCCTGGGGAAAAGGAAATATGCAAAACACAAAAGGTATTTATCGATGTTGAGCTATGTGCTGGTTACGTTGCCAAAATCTGATCAGCTCATTTTCAGACAGGTTTTTATAGAAATGGATCAGGACAAAAAGTGAGCGAATCTTTTTTCCTGAAACTTTCATAATCTCTTTACACAGATTGGACACATAGAGACATGAAAAAGTGGATTTAGCATGATAGGTGACCTTTAAAGATAACACGAGTCGTGAGACAACAAACACAGAGCGCCAGCAATGCAATGTAATTAACGTACAGCAGTTGTTTGAATTGTGCTTACTCTGCTCAGGGTTATGGCCAGTTGTCGGACTGCGGTGCCATTTAATGGGCCTTTTTCCTCAATGTATCAGCCCCCAGGTTTGATGTTATTAACTGCGGGCCATCCCACACACCGATATGCCCCCCCCGTGTAACTGATGGTCATCGTTGGCTACTTGCATTCAGCACTTTTCTCTCAGCCTGACATAAACCAAAAGCCTCCACTCAGCAGCACCGTGTGGTTTTAGAAGTATGCTCTGTTATACTAACTGTCTCTGCATTGTCTTATCGCTTGAAGAAGCCCCATTTAGACAGCGAAGCAGGGGGGGATGTAACACCATGTCACACGGTATCAACTGCTTTTCACAACTACATCCAGTTAAATGCATCACTGGTGCAAACAAGAAACACCCCGCTCACATACCTTACACTTCTCTGCCTATTAACTCTTTCTGTTTCAGCTCAATTGTGTCATGGCGTCAGTTAGCTTAGCCTGTCAGATGGGTGTTTTTAATCAATCAAGAGCAGTAGAGGAATCATGTGAAGCTGATTTAAGGTAGTGACATTTCTCTAGAAAGCGTGTGTGTTGATATACAGGATATGTTATGTTAGATGTTGGCCGTGTTGCTGTTCATTAATACAGTAATGTGTTTATTATGTCAATGAGGCAGATTGTATAATAGGTTGGCTTTGCAGTTGAGGATATAGATGGAGGAATATGAGTGTTAATAATACTTTCTGGTAATGTGATAGTGGGGGAAAAAGCTTTTCTGAAACCTCTGCTTTAATCAATAACTTTGTTTCCTTTGTGTTCTGTTTCCCGAGGTCATTATTAATCTACTGTATTTCAAAAAGTAATTTTTATTCCATTTCTATCTCTTAGGGATTGTGTCTCTCTTGGGAATCCTCTTATTTGTTGTTGAAGTTTTTGGAGAGCACTTTGAGTTGCCCTTGTGTCTGAAAAGTGCTTTATAAATAGACTTACCTTGCCTTAAAGGTGGGGTAGGTACTGTTTGAGAAACCGGCTCGAGATACACTTTTTGTTATATTCCATGGAATGCTCTTAACATCCCGATAGCAATGAATATCTAAAGTGCTTTGACAAAAAATACATAAAAAAAGGTCATCTATGGAAGCCGTGGCGCTGTAAAAAGCACGACCAATCATCTGAGCCGGCTAAAGTAACTGGATGGCCTACCTGCCTGTCAGCCTTCCATCTGTGCACAAACTTATCTCGTGCCCTCATTGGTCATGTGCGCGTTCGTGTGTGTTGGAGGAGGGTCTCTGAAGGAAGTGGCAGATTTTTTCCGGTTGTGTATTTTCTAATTCTAGCGCACTCGAGCTGGTTTCTCCAAAATGACCTACCCCACCTTTAACTTACTTGTTGGGTCGTTCTAAGTGACATAGCCACACAGAAATATGACTGGCGTTCCTACATGTGTTGAATAACAATGTTTCAGTACATGTTTCCTTCCTGTCTGTCTTCTTCTGTTGGTTTTTCTGACTTCTAGCGCTCTGTCTTTTAACCTCTTTCCTTCTCTGGCGCTTTTGTTTTCTTTAGCCATCATGAATCCAAAGTTTAGTGCTCTTCACAAATATAAGCATTAATATTAAAAAAAGTATTCCAAAGTTTTATTCTGATAATTTATCTAATGTTAAACAGACAATATGTATTTATTGGGATTGATATGACTGCATAGTCCGGTGCATCTCCTTAGCAACAGCCTGTTCTTCTTAGCAACGGTCTGTTAGTGAAAAATAATAACCGCTGGAGTTTAAAAATTGAGAAATCAGAATCGAGTATTCAATTAAGCTGGAAATAAACATGATTAAAACACTTCTCCTTTTTAATCATCCTTTTCCTTCAAACACGTGCTGCCATACAACAGTGAGTTAATCAATTCATTTCACTTGATACTTTAGGTGAACAGCAATTTACAGGCGACATCTTTAGACAACATTCCCTCCCCCCCCTCACAATCAGGCTGCGGTTGTTCCAGTTTGCAGATTCAGCACAGCATTTCAGCTAATTAGCATTCAGTGTGCTTTGATGAGTTGGTCCACCCTTGATTTCCGAGAGAAGCAGCTTCTAAGGACACAATTTCCATTTTTGCCTATTATTAAGAAAATGTCAAATTTGTGTTAAGGCCTTTTTGACCTTTTTTGAAGCACTGGTGGCCATTGTAGAAAGGGCATGTCGTCCTAGATATTTTAAAGTCATGTACTGAATTATTCACATCTTGAAAATGCAATCCTATTTCTCATCGTCATCTGCATAGAAACATAACTTAATAAGAGACACTGCAGCAAAGTCAACCATTGTTAAAACCGCTAGAAAATGTAAAGTGTGTGCACAGCAAAAAGCCAATGCTACAGCAGTGACATATATAATGTTCTTCTTACCTGCAGGATCTCCATCTTGGACAACGGTAACCTTCGGATATGGAACGCAACCAAATCTGATGCAGGCCTCTTCACCTGCATGGCACGAAACCAGTTTGGCGTGGCCAGCAGTACAGGAAGTGTCACCATTAAAGGTATTTCCTATCCTCTTTCTAGTTTTCATCACTGTTTCATCACTCAAGTCTATCTCCTGAGACGGGTGTTTTCCACTCTGACGTCAAGTAGAGCTGCTCGATGTTTCATTCATGGTAAATGGACTGTACTTATATTGCGCTTTATCCAGTCTTTACGACCCCTCAAAGCGCTTTACATACTACATGTATTTCACCTTTTCACACCCATTTATACATAGCAGTATAGCTTGCTCTAGGAACTTACATTCACACACACTCACACAACGTTGGCCAACGGGAGCAACTCAGGGTTCAATATCTTGCCCCAAGGATACATCGACATGTTGAAAGCACGGGCTGGGATCGAACCAACAACTTTCTGCTTGAAAGACGACCGCACTCCCTCACAGCCACAGTCGCCGCTGTTACCTGAAGTATTTCATAAATACATACAGTATAGAGGCAGATACAGAGAGCCCTCTGGACTCTGATTTTTCAAGCAGGGCTTTTTGTCTGTGCTCCCATCATTGGAAATACACATTTGTTGCCAGGCCTGTTTTCAGAGGTGTTGAAAACATTCAGCCCACTGCTTTAGTGCCTCCAGTACTGACAGAGGATATGTTGTGTTGAAAAGGCTGAGTGTTGCTTGATCATATGGCCTGGGGATTGTATTTCTGCTATGGTGCTAAGACTTATTATGCCTTACAACATAGCTAGAGAATACTTTGCCATCAATAAGGCTGTTAATATTTCAGATGTTACAGTAGCTGAACTTGCTATTGCAGATCTTTTGTGGCAAATATCTATCTCTCCCTAATTCCATACGATAGCAACAACTGTTCATAAGTAAGCATTCACTGATAATGGAAGCTATCTCTGCATGTTCTGTCCTCACTTTGACCTCTGTCTCTAAACTATTTAAATGACAAAAGGCCATTGATATCCTTAAGTTAAACCATTCTCTGGCCAAGGGGAATGCAGAAAATAGACAGAAAGGAACTTCAAATGTACCATGATATATTCAAAATGAAACTCAAAATGTACAATTTAGATCCGAAAAACACTAGGACACCTTTCTATAGGTGATAACCCCATTGTATCTGGGAATATTCCTGAAGACGTAAAAACTGCAGTCACCAAGCTTCTCCTAAATAGTGTGTCCAGATACATTTGTGAGTACCTACCAAGTACACTTTTAAAAGTTTAAAAAACGAAATATATCTAAATTAGGGATGCACGATAATTATCGGCCCGATAATTATCAGTCCGATAATTATCGGTCCGATATTAGGAATTATGACGTCATCCCGATAAACCCGATACCAGTATTAATAGCCCCGATAATATACAATATATTTTTTGGGTAAGAAAAAATACTGCGGTGTGGGTGGATTGGGATGAGGGGCGCTTGTTTTTCACTCGGCTCCTCCCGTTTTGTAAGTACTGTGGTATTAGTGGTTTAGGAAGAGGGGAGTTCTTCACAAATCCAGCGCTCCCTAACTCATGCCTGGCTGTGACGTAAATGGTGTGCGGCCGTGAAGCCAGGACAGTAAACAAACATGTCGTCGGTGGTATGGGCGTTGGAGCTATGTGCAACTCAAAGCATATGCTCGAACCGGAGCTGCCTGGACGCTGCAATCATGTTGCGCACTATCCGTGCTGAGTGTGCTGACTTTTCGTACAATGTCCCACTGTCTGGCTTCCTGCATAAAGTCAAGTGCTCGGCGCAGTTGTGGCGAAATGTCGCTCCTCTGTTTTCATTTAAACAGCTCCATATCCGTTAGCGCAGCTAGCTAGCACCAGATGCTAACAACAACAATGCACGTAAGGTCTCTCTCTCGCTCGAGCCACACATACACACACCCTCCCGGTCCTCCAGATGGCCAGTCGGTGCCTGCCGGTGAGCGTGGAAGTGTGGTCTGCCACAAGCGGGCGGCAGGAGCGGGGCTGTCAGCATGAGCTTGTAGATGGTATTTTAAACTCGATGCGCTCTGAAACTACGGGGCGGCCAAGGAAAAAAAAATACACATGCGTTAATCGCGTTAAAATAATTAGTGGCGTAAAAAAAATGTTGGTATCGGTCTTGAGAAGCAGGAAGTTATCGGTATCGGTATCGGTTTCAAAAAACCAATATCGTGCATCCCTAATCTAAATTGATAAATTACATCGAAAATAAATTACATCTAAATTGATAAATCCATTTCAATATAATTTCTCGGCCTAGTCAAGGTACTGAGACAGCTTTCATGACTGTTCCTTCATGATTACCATTTAGAAATTGTTTTAAGTTCTTGTCATATTAGATCTTACTGCTACTTTTGACACAGTTGACTACTAGACAATACTAGGAGACAAAATAGGATAAATTGGTTGAATCTTCAGGAAAGAAACCATGTTGTCTCACTTTGTAAGTATGAATATCAGAAGACCTACACGATGTTGAGGTTCCCCAAGGCTCAACCCTTGGGCCTCTTCTGTTCACATAATTTCCTTAGACCACATTATACATAATGTCGTCATCATGCAGAAAGCACTCAAATGTACCTTGATCTGTCATAAAGTGAGAGTCCAAAATATTCTCTCTGCAAGGCAAACAAACCAATGATGATTAGGTGTGCCAGGTCTCGCCCAGTTAAATGGTCGTTGGTGCTGACAAAGGAAGGCTGAAAGTTATTATTCATCTCGAGACATATTTAGAAACGTTTTTGTAATGATGGAAAAACTTCACCAGGCACGACGAATGACAATTACAACGTTTTTATTCTGCCGTCAAAGCAGAAGAGGAATCTGAGGATTTGTGTTCAGTCACAACTGAGAAACTAAGCCTTGCTTTCATTTCTTGTTAGATTACAGAACTGTTCTTCTCTCTAATCTCCCCCTCTCTTTGTTAGGACTCTAGCAGCTGGTTCCTAAATGTGCTGAACACAATATACCAGTTATTTGATGTCTTTCAGTATTTCGGAGAAAAGTGTATCCCGCTCCTCGTCTATAAATCTCTCAAGACGTGTCTTTTTACGATACGAACCCTCTCAGCCTCTGAGGGCATCAGGTAGAAGTCTGCTAACAGTTACCAGAGTGCAAATAAAAACGGAGAAGCAGCATTTAGTTACTGCTCACCACGGAGCAGGAAAACACGTCTGGAGGAAGTTTGACCGCACCTTCAAATGCAGAAAACCATTAATGCAATGCCATTGGCTGAACCTTAAATACGCATGAAGTACAATCTAGCCTCTCCTTTATTTATTTCTACATCCTTAACATTGGTATGTCTTTAAAAGGGTTTCTCTTATTTAAATGTGCATTGTTTTAATGCTGTTTTGAGCTATAAAAATAGCCTTACTTCCATTGACGATGAATGTAAGCTAGTATTTGGTGCTTTGCATTGGGTGGTTTCTTTTTTCTGTGCACACTGCATTTGTTTGTACTATTTCCACAGGGGATAGTTTTCTCACCTCCTTTAGTTCCTGGGGGATTTGCTGACACACTCAGTGAACTACACCCTCACTGGGACCTGTTATTCACAGAGGTTGCACAGTTCATTTGTGTGTTCATTGCTGACATGACCTTCCTCATTGGCTGGTTTATGTAGGATTATAAAATGATTGATATTCATTGTAGGCTTTTGGAAGAAAATGCTCATGCTTGAAATTTCCAAAGTATGGATTTAAGTGTATATTGCAACAGGTTATTGGACTTCTTGCATCAATTATTTTAAAGAAATCAGACAGCTGCCACTGCATATTCTGAGATGTCAAGGCAAATCCTGTGGGCAAGCCTCGACAAATTCATTCAGATCCTTTTATCACCCATAGAGAATTCGGTTGCCAGACAATTGGTTGCCGGTGTTGTGGTTTAGGAGACCTTTCACCTGTTAGAAATGAATTGCACAGGGTAAAGAAAACTAATAAAGTGAAGCCAAAATCCTTCCAATTCCCCAGATCATATGATGAGAGGTGCTGTGTGTTGTCCACCGCTCTCTGAAGTGAAATCATTTTCTCATGAAGTCTGGAAGATAGAGCTTCTCCTTCCTTTTCCTTAGTTTATGATTCTTGCTCAAAGGGTTCAATCTGTTTAATTGTCTTTCTTCTACAAGGTATAGCGATCTGTAAAATATTTTTGAAATGCTGTTTCAACAACACAGAGCTAGAAAATCTGTTTGACTTTTTGTTATCGTATAAAAGGATGATTTCTTCCTAAGCCCTGCGGGAGAGTGTTGGATTGAATACTTTGAAAAGCATTGATTCATGTCAATGTGAATAACAGCAAGAGGAATGTCCTATACTTTATATTTACAGTACATCCCTTTTTTACTGGAAAACACATGAGAAAATAACTCTAGACCAGTTTGTTCTTCTTTAAATCACTATCAAGGCATGTTTTCTTTTTCTGTTGAATTATAAAAGACAGAGTGCATATTTTATGAATGCTTGGAAGTCAGCAGCAGTCAAGGATGTGGGGAGGCGAGCTCAGAGTGCACCTTGCAGCTGAATTATGCTGATGCCTCTCACTCCAATCGAAGCCTACGAAAAGAATCAGTAACCTTTGCATAATTGAAGCTTAGAAATTAACTGATTTCTAATGTCAGTGTATTTTCACACATTCATTGCTGTGAAATTTGAAGCGCTGAGCTCGACTTTGAAGCATAACAAAGAATACAGCACTGCTACAAGCTGCCTTTTACACTCCCCTTTACCCATTTATCACACACTGTGAAATGAATATGGTAGAGAGCCCCCCCCCCCACAAGCCAATCAGTTTGCATGAGGGGGGAGAAACCCTCCGCTCTCTCTGTAGGTTCAGGTTGATGGCCTATATGTGATTTTCCAATCAAGCTGCAAGGAAACACGCCTGCGTATGTCTTCGCAGCATAAAATACTCCGCTGTTATCCACTTGTTATTCCTGTGAAAGGGAATATGGCTTTTATTTGACACCCTATTGCACTTGCTTCCCTTTCCATCTTCATATGTTAAAGCTGTTTTTCTGCGGATGATGTACGAATGTTCCTGTATGTGATCTCGTG